AACAGATTTAATAAACAGGGGCAGGAAGAAGTGTCTGTATGTAAAGGCTTAGAAATCCGACAAGAAACTGCAGGGCAATTGTGAGTGAGTGTAAAAGGCACGAGAAGCAGTGAGAGCTGTGGTGGGCTTACTACTCACGTGATCAGACATGATCTCTCCAACTTGGGTTATAAAACTAAAACAGGAGCAATACAGACCAGTAACGAGGGGCGTCAACAATCCTAGTACCTGTGAGAAGGCTCACTGTGTAAAGCACAGCATCTGGTAAACTGGCGAGACTTGAGAGGAAATCACGTATTTTTTTCAAATGTAAAGGAAAGCTAAGTCGGAGCCTACAGCCCGAGGCTGTGGAAGGGAAGACGCTGAAGAAGGGCAGTAGGCTCCACCAGAGGACAGGACTGGGCTGATCCCAGAGAGGCGGGGGTGGGGGCAGAGCTGAAGAAGCTATTGTGTTTTTCATGACACGTTCAGTTTAGAAAAGGACGTGCACAAAGGCGAAGGGCACATTACCGAGGACAAACTGAGAAGAATGACGGATTTCTGTGAGAACAGTGCCCAGCTTGAGCTGAGGCTTGCAAAAAATGCTACAGTTGCCAAAAGAAAGGGGGTGGTGATGGATTATTTTTGTTGTTGTGAGGTGCCGTCTAGTCGATTCCGACTCATGGCCGCCCTATGTACAACAGAACGAAACACTGCCTGTCCTGCACCATCCTCACAATCGCTGGGCTCAAACACAGGAATTATTTTTAGTTAAGATTAAAAAGGGATGAGGCCCATGGCGTAGGGATCATGGTAACATGTTAACAGAGGACAGAGAAAATTAGACAACTCAGCTACTCCCAGTTTTCGTCTATCCTCTCCATAAAAAGCAAAGTGGTGTTCTAACTGAGAAGACTGACAAAGACATCATTAGAACAACACTGGGCGCTGCAGGCGCGGTGAGCCGGTAAGTGGTAAGTAGATCCTCTTCACCACTTTAAGTCCCCGTCTCCAGACCCTGCAGGCTCACACTGCAGGCCCTTGGACAAACCCACCGTTGTTGTTAGCTGCTGTCATGTCAGCTCTGACTCACGGTGACCTTATGTAACACAGAGCAAAACACTGCCTGGCCTTAAGCCATCCTTGTGATCACTGTTATGTTTGATTTTGAGTGCCTTCCTACCCAGGAGGCTCATCTTCCAGCACTATATTGGGCAACCTTCTAATTTTGGGGAGTAGATCACCAGGCCTTTCTTTCTAGTCTGTCTTAGCCTGGAAGCTCCACTAAAATCTGTCCACCATGAGTAACCCTGTTGGTATTTGAAATCCTGGTGGCATAGCTTCCAGCATCACAGCAACACGTAAGCCACCACAGTACGACAAACTGACAAATGGGTGGTAGTTAGACGAACCTACAGATAGGATAATAGAGCCAACGTACACAATCCCAGAGAAACTAGGGAGTCTGGGAGCAGTCCCAAAAGACTGTTGTCAGCAAACGTCCCAATTTAGCCAAGGGGGAAAGACAGTTCCTGGTATGTGGACCAAAGACCCTGGCAAAATCTTAAAAACCAAAAACCAAACCCGTTGCCGTCGAGTTGACTCTGACTCACAGCGACCCTATAGGACAGAGTAGAACTGCCCCATAGGGTTTCCAAGGAGCACCTGGTGGATTCGAACTGCCGACCTTTTGGTTAGCAGCCGCGGCTCTTAACCACTACGCCACCAGGACAAAATCTTAGGCCACATAATTTCATAGATGGTTTTTAAGTCCTTGGAAAAGGAAGAGGTGGATGTTGAAAATCAGCATGAGTTTGAGAAAAACAAGCCAGGCCCAAGAACTGTTGACTTTTCTCCCCTATAGGCTACGTGAAGGGGCCAACTAGGGAGGGCTGCAGTTACTAGCAATATCTTGAAGCCAAAAGAAGAAAAAGAACAGTGGCTTTGTCTCCAGTGAGGCCTTTGGCTACCAGGTGGAATGACTACTGGGCTTCCGGGTCTGAGTCTGGGCTTTAGCCATTCTCAGCTACTCACACCCTTGAGCCCATCGTGCCATCTCGTGCCTCCCTGCCTTTGCCTTATTGTGTTCCCTCACATCCTTCATTTGCCTGTTTGTCCTTCAAAACTCAGCTCAAATAGCACCTCCTCTTGGAACCCTTCTCCACTGCCCAGTGTGATTCAGAAGTCCCTTATCGGAGCTCACCAAGCACCCTGCACACTGCACTGTACGGCGCTCTTCCCCTGGGCTGCGGCTTCGTTATCTGCCTCCCCCAACGCCCCCGCAAGCTCCTGAAGGCGCTGGTATTTCCAGAGCCCAGGCCAGCACCAGGCACAAAGAGGACCCTCCAGAAATGACTATTGCTTGAATGAGTTTTGCTTAGAGGTTCAAAGTCATTTAGAAGCGGGACTGTTTCCAAATGCGTTCCATGGGGTTCTCAAAGTTTAGAGTTCTATCAGTGACCTGGAGGAAAATATAATTTCAGAGACTAAAGAGCTGGGAAAGAGATAATGAGACAAAAGGCTTAAGGTTCAAGATCTAACAATCTACAGGCTGGCCATAAAGTCTGAAAACATAGATAACTTTTTTATCAATTGACTGATTCTCTTGATTGTTTCTTCTGTGGCATGGGAAAGGCACAGCTTTTTTTTTGGTAGGGGGGTGGAATTAGAGATGAATATGCAGGGTTGACGGAAATGCTGCAAAATCGCCACGTTCATTGTAATTTCGTATGGTACTTTGAACTATGCCTTGCTAATGAGGGCGCTACACTGAATCCCTCATGCAATGTCACTGCCCATATTGTGTCTTGTAATATCATTAAGCCATTTATTACGTATGTTTATGTTTCAAGACTTTATGATCACTCTGTAGAAAGACAACTGACAATTAACATAATAGAATTTTAACAGAAATAATCATGACGTTTTCATATTAGGTCTCAAAAATATCTACAGTATGGGAAATATATGGCCCCATCCATCCATCCATATTTATTGAGCCTTCACTGTGTTAAATACCATGCTAGGCTCTGCAAATTTAATGGAAAATAAACACTGCCTCCCTTTGAGCTTACATCCTAGTGAGGGGAAATGGGTAAGTCAGTAAATAGTTCTAAATGCTGATGAGGGCCACAAATAAACCAAAACAAATTGTGGTGGGACAGGGGACAACTTCGGACAGAGGGCATATAGATGCATCTTGAGGCTGGCAGGAAGTGTATGTGAAGAAGGGTGGGGTGGGGCTGGCCGGTCATTACCTCGAAGTGATCAGTAACGTGCTGAGACCTAAAAATAACTGCAAGCTCGGGCCATGTTAACAGAAGCCAGGGCAATGACAGTCCCACCGCCTCTGCGGTGGTCCCACCACTTCTAGATCACCTTCTGCACTCACGAACGCTATTCTTTAAGAGGGAGTTGCTTGGTGGTGCAAACAGTTAATGCACCTGGCTGCTAACCAAAAAGTTGGAACTTCGAGTCTACCCAGAGGTGCCTTGGAAAAAAGGTCTGGCGATCTACTGCTGAAAAGATCAGCCACTGAAAACCCTACGGAGCACAGTTCTACTCTGACACACATGGAGTCACCGTGAGTTGGAGTTGACTCAGACTGGAACTGGAGCTGGAATACTTCAGGAGAGTCTTTGAGTGAATCCAGGAGTATTAAACCACATCTTATGAGGTACGGCAGAGAGAACTAGGGAAGTTTAGTGTGCAGAAGGAATCACTAGGCATTTGTCCGCAGAATTTCTGAAGACTCAAGATGTTCAGAAGAGAATATGCTCATTCTGTGTTATTGTGGGAAGCCAAACCTGAACTACTGAAAGGAAAGTTTAAGACAGTTCAAACTAGGGGAGAAATCACCAATAGAATTTGACCTATGCAGAAATGGCTTTTTGGAGAAGGGAGTATCCCATCCTCAGAAGTGATCAACTAGAGCTGGGAAAACATCTGCTCAAAACACTGATGAGGGGGTTCCTATACTGGGCAAGAGATATTTTTCAAACACATCTTTGGGGTTGGGGCACAGCTTTTATTGTTTCTCTGAGTGGGACATTTTCTCATCTTGGGATGCCAAATCATCTTTAAAATGTTTGAGCCTCAAGCAATTACCGCCAAGTGCTCCTGATCTCTCCTTCTTCCTAAGAGCTTGTGCTTCCTTGGAAGACTGACCTTCTCTTGGAGATGAGAGGAACCGACCCATCTTTAGTCATGGGCTTCTCTTGCCATTGGACAGAATGACGTCTTCCTGGGAGCCCTGGGTCTGCACAAGAGGATGTGGACAGCTCCTCTTCCTTGGCCCCAGCAACAGTGCAGATGACAGGGGATGGGGGCTCCTGAAGGCACACCCCACGGTTAGAAGTGACCTCCACTCACCAGTATTGCAAAGACACAACACAAGGGGACCAGGAACCATGTCAAGATGCCCAATGACAGAATTCCACTAGAAGCAACTCCATGATACTTTTACTCCAGTCTCCCCTCATTTGTGTGTGTGTGTATAAGTAGAGCTCTCTGAACTTTACTTATAGCACCAGGTGACCATATCTGAAGGCTCAGGTCAAAGGCTCAGTTCTATCTCGGAGCTCTGTAGAACTCTCTCCTAAGGCATAGGGCTTGCCCTCTCTCTGGAACGTGAACTTATCTCGGGCAGACAGGTGCTCCACCTTCTGTTCCAAACGCCCTTTTTAGACTGTGTCTTCACAGAAAAACTGAACTCCTAAGTGCATACAGCCAATTGAATTGCCCAACTTAATCATTTTATGATTATGATTTGATAGTATATCAATTCTGTTTGTAACCATATTTGGTCTGCTGGAAGAGAAACGAAATCACATTAAGATTAAGGCTTAAGGCAGTGATTAACTTGAATCACAGACCAATGTTTTTCATCCATTTACCCTGTGAATAAAACACGCATTGGCCCCAGCAACAGTGCAGATGACAGGGGATGGGGGCTCCTGAAGGCACACCCCACGGTTAGAAGTGACCTAAGTTCAGTGAAATAAGTTCAGTGAAAATCATACCTGAGCCGCATACAACAAAAACAAACAGTGCCAGCAGCCATGGTCCTACTGGATATTTCTCTTCTTGAGGCCTCTAGAAGAGAATGGGAGAAAGTAGGGTTAGACTGATTTGTTCCATAGATATTTATTGAATGCTTCTTGGTACTGTGAATCAGACAGACCTGGTCTCAACCCTCAGTGGCTCTAGTAAGGGACAGAGATAAAGCCAATTATAAACGACTGAGGTAGTTTTGTAAAAATTCACCAATAACTTTATTAGCACACCTGTAACTCAATAAACAGCAGTCGCCGGGTGGCACAAAGGGTTTGTGCTTGACTACTAACCTGAAGACTGGCAGTCTGAACCCACCCAGTGGTGCTGTGAAAGAAAGGCCAGGTAATCTGCCTCTGTCAAGATTACGGCAAAGAAATTCCCATGGAGCAGTTCTACTCTGTAACACATGGGGTCACCATGAGTTGAAATCGACTCCACAGCAACAGGTTTGGTTTTGGTTAACTCAATGAACTTGGTGGTCTTAAAGATTCTGGGGACAAATAAGGTCTAAGTACATAAACCAATACAGTGATCTTGGAGCCAAAAACAGTATGGATGGTAATTGCTTCCATTGGCCGAAAGCATGCTCTATGCTGGTGTGGTGAAATGAGTTCCTTTATGTGGCCTTTTGTCTTACTTCTTTGGAAAAACAGCTTGAGAGATTTTTCCCCTAAGCCCTAAGGAGTTACCTTTGCCCTAGTCTTCTACCCCAGAGGGTTTATTACTTTCGTCCAGGCTGACTGACATTTCCTGGGTAAGCTGTAAACAACTTGGATTGATAGTTTTTGTCTGGCCCTGGGCTGCAGCCTGCCCTGTGACTGGTATGCACCTTGTAGGATTGGTTAACAGACTATGCAAATGAAGTGTCTGTAGCCTACTATGTAAATGAAGTGTCTATGCCTACCAGGAGGGAATTGGTCAGTTTGTGGCCCCCTGATGGGAGGGGCCATGTCTTGAAATTTATAGAGTTGTATATACCAGCAGCCAACCCCACAGAGGTTTTTCAAACAGAGGTTTTGCAGGAAGGGAAGCAGAATGAAGAAAGAAAAGAAGAAGCAGAGAGAGATGAGGCAAAGAACCTCCTAAAAGAGCTATAACATGGGTCAAGGGCTATAACACTGAAGACAGTAATAGGCCCAGAAGGGGGCCCTTTGGCAGAGCCTGCAGCAGAGCCAATGGCAGGGAAACTAAAGGCGGAGATGCATGTCCTCAGGGGGCCCAGATGAGACCTGTCCTGAGGGGGCTAAGAGAAGCCTGTCCTCATGGGGCAGAGATGAGCCTGTCTAGAGGGGACTGAGAGGGGCCTGTCCTGAGGGGGCCAAGAAGGCCCTGTCCTCAGGGGGACCTAGAGGAGGCCTGCACAGCCCAGAGGCTGCACTGAAGAAGGGAGACTTTGTCTACATGCTTCCTGATCCTGAATTAAGTATGGTCTGTGAGTTCTGTGTGGCCATTGCAATGGATTATTGAACCCAGCTGAGAAGTAGAGTGCCGTGGGAAGGACAGCTGGTGTCAGAATTAGTAAAAAGGTTGGAGGGTGGAGGTATGTCTCTTATAGGGATCAGCCTTGGGCTGATCTTGATTTGCATTATCCCCCCTGAAGTCAGACAGGTTCTGATGCTACTACTACCACCCCATTTTACAGCCGGGCGCTATACTAAGCACTCTACATCCATTACTTCCAGCACTCACAACTCTACAAGGCAAGTATTACTGACTCCATTTTGTAGTTGAGAAACCGAGGCTCCCAGTTCATGTTACTTTGAGCAAGAGGCGGGATTCAAAGACAGAATCGGCATCTGGGTATACAGAGCCTGGGTGTGTTCCACTAATAAGATTCATCTTTAATTCTCGTATCTGTGACTTCCCAGCAGGGTCACAGAACACAGTATTTTCTCAAAACCTTCTACAGGCCAGAAGAGCTGGGGAACTGACACACTGGAAATCCCCAGAACAGCGCAAGCACCAAGTACTGTGAGTGGACGCGAGGGAAGCCTTACCGAAGCTTACACTTTGGAGCTATCTCTGCTTTCCCCGGGAAGCAGAAAGGATGGTTATACCTGCATGAACCTAGCCCCACACACCTCCTGCTCCTCTCAAACCAAGAGCACAGAAAAAATAAGAACGTCCCGGCACAACACTTCTGGGTCTATCTGCAGCCTTGAAACCAAATCAATCAACAGAGCAACACACATTTTCCGAGAGTGGCTTCAGAAAGAGCAGTGTGCTTCTTAAATAAGAAGGACAAAGGAAGAAAGTGGAAAAAAAAAAAAATCAAAGAACTCACCAAATATTTCCTCATTAGCTGGAGCTAAAAACAGTCTTTATTCAACATCCCTCCTCACTCTCTTCCATCGCCTTCTTAGCAATCTGACATAGTTGACCAGAAACCAATTCTGTTGTTGTTGTTCCACTAATGCTACGCAAAAAAGATCATTTCATTACAGATGAGGCAACAATTCTTTGGTTCTCAGCTTACCTGTTCCACGCTCAAAGGGCCTTCCGAGTCACCCTCAGTCGGGCTCACTTGTCACTTCTATTACCATGTACTTTTTTCTCAGTAGGATTTGTCAGTTTGTAGCTCTAGGTTTATTCCCGTGATACTGTGTTTAACATCTGTCTTCCCACTAGACTGCAGGCCCCACCAGGGCAGGCACTGTGCTCTTCCATGTATCAGTGAATACCACCACCGGGTTGTCGTTACTGTTGTTAGCTGCTGTCCAGTTGATTCGGACTCATGGCCACCCATGTGTGCAAAGTAGAAGGGCACACCATAGAGTTTTCAAGGCTGGGGCCTTTTGAAAGCAGATCACCAGGCTTTAGTTCTGAGGCGCCTCTGGGAGGGTTTGAACTATCAACCTTTTGGTTAGTAGTCTAGTGCTTAACCATTTGTGCCACCCAAGGACTCCATACCAATACCTGGTATAGCAGTTAAACATAGCAGATAGATACTCAGTGTTCATTGAAGAATGAATCAGCCTACAGGTTTTGTTAAATAATATTTCTTAGTCTGAATAAAGATAGGATTTAGGAAGGATATGGGAGTCCGTGGGTGGCATAAACAGTTAATGCTTGGCTGCTAACCAAAAGGTTGGTGGTTCAAGTTCATCCAGAGGTACCTTGGAAGAAAGGCCTGGAGATCTACTTCTAAAAAATCAGCTATTGAAAACCCTCTGGAGCACAGTTCTGCTGTGACATACATAGACCCAGTGGCAACTAGTGTCTGTGTGTGTAGGAAGGATCTTGTCATTTTTATTAATACTTCCCAACTGGTGGGAGGATTATCTCTGCATTCTCTTCCTAGAGAAGTATGGGTTAATGTGTTGATGGCTTTGACTAAGGAAAAAACCATTCATGGCTCTGTCCTTGACAAGCCTGGAAGTGTACCTGCCACCACTCCTACATGATGTCAAAGCACACTCTAAGGGGACAGGCAGTTGCTCTTGACCAGAGAACAAAATCGGTCTTAAATAAAATTGGTCTTAAATAGTTGCATAAGATAACTTTAACCAGAATTTCTACTATGCCGTTCTTTGACTCTTAAGGCCAGGTCAAACTCAGGTTAAGTACATAACAGAAATTGTAAATAAAGTTACCTGAATAGAGTGTGACATTTATCCCTCCCCACCCTCTTTCACCACCTTCTTAGAAATCTGACATAATTGACCAGAAGCCAATTCTGTTGCTGTTGTCCCACAAACACTATATAAAAATTTTACTTGAGCTCTATTTCCAGCAAAGCCAACAGCTGAATGCAGGAGCCTGCAAATGAATTATTGGTCTAGTTCACATACCTAGTGGGGTCCTTTATTTTTCATTTGCAGGAGAAGACAAATTATGAGCATGAACTTGGAGCGTGTAACACAAAAATCTCTTTGATGACATTCCCCTGTGAATCAATATTATTTGGGAATTTTCACAGCTCATAAACACCTGGCCGATCATAATACCAATCTATCCTTTTTCTGAGAGCTTTGGGTTACTCTTTTTTTGGAAGCGGTATTCTGCACAATCCCACTGGGACAATTCCCACGGCCTGCATCTACTGCTGAGAAAGGCAGGGAAAGCTGCAGCAATGCTGCAGGTGACGTGGTTCATGTCAAACAGGAGTCTGCCATTTCCTGAGGCTCCAAAGGATCACAATGGCTTTTCCCATGATGAGATACCAGCGGAGTAACCCACAACTCTGAAATTTAAATCCCCCGCTTCACTCTAGAGAAGTTACTACTGTATAATCATAACATGATGACTTCATTTCTCTGCTTCTTGGATTTACCTGCTATTTGGGATAAATAATAAATACATAAATAATAAAGAATCTGCTATTTGCTCTCATGTCAATCCCAACTCATGGCGACCCCACGTGTTTCAGAGAAGAACCGCCCTCCACAGGGTTTTCACGGCTGTGACCTTTCAGAAGCAGACTGCCAGGTCTTTCTTCTGAGGAGGGTGGGTTCGAAACTGCCAGCCTTTCGGTTAGCAGCCCAGCGCTTAACCATTTGCTTCACCCAGAGACGATTCACCCCACAGCTATCACCTAACAACGAAATACTGAAGCATCTGCATACAATTAAGGGAGAAGTTTATTTCCGAACTATTAGTCTGAATTTTCAGTTGGAATCTGTCTACATCTCCCCATTTACTGAATTTCATCCTGAACAAGTGGTCTTTGGAAGTTAATGTCTATCAAAGTATAATCATATCTGACCTGTTACCGGGAAAATGAGATTTAGGTTTTATAGACTTGCTTTTTGAAAGAGAATTTCATTTTAACTGTTTGGATGCTGATCCATTTACAATAAAGTTAACCAAAAAGCCCCTCCAACCAACTGAAAGTAAACATACATTGTGGCTTCATTTGGAAACCTTTCATTACAAATTTAGTAGGGCCACTTACAAAGCCTCATAGGCACCAGGGACATTCACAGGGCCTGCCTCACAGTGTATCAAAACCTATTAAAATGCACCCTCGTGGCACATTAAATATATTTTAAATGTAGCTATAGGAAAATCGAGTTGAATTTCAAAAGACTAGCTACATTATCTAAGCATTCAAATAGTTTTTTTCCCATTTTCTTCTGATATTTTGGTGCCGAATATTTTTGTTTCAAGTCGCAGACATTTTTAGTTATCTTGGAGAGCTGGAAGTCTATGGAGCCTAATGGATAAAACAGCCCTGCCAATTAGCTCTTATTTTGTTGCTGCTTTTGCAGTCAGGTAAGTTAACTTAGTTAACAGCTGACCTCTAGATCCTTAGTTCAGTAAAAAGAACCACACACTAGGAATTTTCAGTATGTCAGCACGTTGCTGTGGTTAGGTGCCACTGAGTTGTTTTCAACTCATAGCGACCCCAAATGACAGAGCAGAACTGCCCCATAGGGTTTTCTAGGCTGTAATCTTTACGGAAGCCGATTGCCAGGTCTTTCTCCTGAGGAGCCTCTGGGTGGGTCCAATCGCCAACTTTTCGGTTAGCAGCTGAACACTTAACTGTTTGCGCCACCAGGGCTCCTTATACGTCACCTAGTAGGTATGATATACTGGGAAGAACTGATCTCCTAGCGATAGAAAACTCTGCATGCTTTAAGATCAATTAAAAAATTTTTTCAATGTAAATTTGGACACCATTTTTTTCCTGAGTACAAATGAAAAAGGAAGACTAGATCTACCTGAAAAATGATTTCATTTCGATGGCACAATGGCATTTTGGTGCACCAATCACAACTAAATGATCTAACCCCCAAATGAATTTTAAGGAGTCCTTAAGCCTGGAGTTGTGTGTAAAACTCAGAGAAGAGTTTAATTCTAAGGTCTCTGTCACATACGCTTGTTTTGAAAGAACTCTGGTGTGATGATTGCAGATCCAATTTTTTTTCTGCTCAGTTAATCAAACCAGCACAATATCTTTGGCTAAGAAGAGTTGCCTCATCAAGTCTGAAAGCTTTTTCCGCCAAACCCCATGCTTCAGCTGGACAGCCACCTAACTGTATGGGATAATAGATTCCAGGTGCCTTTGCTCACAGACTTGGAGACCACCACTGCCCAACAACTCAGCCAACTCATGCCTTTGAATGTCCAGTCCCAGGCCAGGAATTTTCTGTTGCAGATACTCTGCTTTGTTAAAAGAATCCCCTGTGCATAAGTCTTAAGTTTTATTTGTAATTCCAGTTGTAAAGCATTGATCTACAGTTCGGAGGGTACAATCCCTGGCAATAAACTGGTTTCTAAAGTTCGGGATTATACCATCAGGAAGAGCCTGGACTCAGGGCAAACAACACTAACGTTGCATTTAAATTTAGCCCAGCCAGCAGTGGGAGTCCTCACAGGTGAGGAGGTCAAGAAGAAAGGAAGAGGGAGGGAGATGAGGGTTAGAATCTCACTCCCCACTTGGAGCCCTTTCACGTACACAGGGCAGACCATTACAAAGGGGCTAGGAGGAAAACCTTATCAAGGTATATGTCTATTGGGGGTGGGAGATACCGGGTGGGGTCTACACAGAGGCGGTTTATCCAACAAGCAAGGTAAACACGGGCCTACAAGTAGCCCCCGAGTCTACAGGAGATGATAAATGGCCTCCATTTACCCTTTCTTTCATTCATTCAACCAATGTTCCAGCACCTAGTACGTTTCGGGCCCTGTGTCATGCAGCTGGTTTAACTGTCCCCTAAGGATGTGGCTTTCCGTCCTTCCCAGGGACGAAGGCCCAATTTTTTTCCTGGGGAGCCACCACCGCGCTTCCATGGTAGCCCAGGCAGCCACTCCCAGAGGGGCCACGACCAACCAGGGCCCTCTGTCCACGAGGGCACCGCAGCGCCCACGCCGCCCTGCGCCCAGCTCTCACCTCCACGCTCCGAGACCCCACAGGAGGGGCGGACCGCGGTCCCGGGAGCGGGAGGCCCGGCGGCCGGGCCCTGCCCTCGCGTCCGGCC